GGCGTACAAAGTGGCGTACGCAAGTTTCTGGGCTCAAATTGTGCGTACGCCTGTTTTATAAATCCGACCCCTGGACATTTATGGTTTGATTTCTTTGTATGTATGGATCACTTGGGTTGTTACCGACATCTGGTGAAAATTTCATGTCATTAACACCTCTAGTAATATATTTACTGAGAAAAATGGTGACGTGTTCAATACTTATTTTACCCGCTGTATCAAATCAARGCAGTTAGTGGTGCTTCCAAACTAAAATATTTCACCCAGACGATGTGCCAAAGGCTGGTGAGTCCTTAAAAGCGCTCCAAACAACTCATAAACCTGCAGCAACTCTTCCTCAGGGGAAGACAAAAAAATTAGCCCTTTTTTAAACCTAAAATAAAGATTTGAGATTTTATGCATCTGTCCTTTAAAAAATGGTTGCAGGGGAAGCTTTCTMAAATTTGTCTTGATGACAGTTTTGTTTAAACTGCGATACGTTGATCAAAATACCGGAGGAAAAAGAAAAAAGGAAATGTAAGACAAAAATATGTCTACRACACAAAGAGTCTGTTTAAATTCAATCTAATGTGACCAGATGATAAMGCAACAGTGATTAAAATGGGTTTTCTCATACGATTGATTCTACTTTGTTGCCAAATTTATTATCAACAATCAAAATCTAATAAAATCTGCATGAGTTTAAAGCACATCTGTGATAAACTGTCCTAATAGAGTTCTGCACTGATTCTGCAATAAAACATGACCAGGGGAAAAAAATTTTGATTTGTTTTCATAGTCTATTCCTGTGTTAATGGAAGCAAAAAAACCCGTTTAATTCATCAGGCATGTCAACAAGTTTGTTGCTTTGATTCATTTCTATCCATTCTCAGTAAAAATATTGACAGCTGTATAATTTTTCAATATTCCACATGTATATTTCCTTTACATTTAGTTTTTGTTTTTGTTGAATACCAGACTTAGTTTTTTTTAAGTGGGCTTCAGCAAAAACTAGCTGTAAGCACAATGATCTGGTAAGAATCAAATTTATTTCTCCAAACTGAGGTTGTTCAACAACCTTTCTAACCCCATTGAAAAGACATGAACTGCCACTTTATTGGCCCTATATCATCCCAGATGCTCCAWAGGTTTCAGAGAGGAGCACACATCTGTTCATCAACACTTTCCATTCCTTCAATAAGCTTTCTCTCTCCTCAAGGTGTCGGGAGCCGATTCATCTCAAGATGCTGGCAGTGAGTCAAGCAGAACAAAAATATGAAAATAGGGAAGTAGTTATAGCTGCTATAAGGAGGTGCTCGCGGCAGTTAATTAACAGCAGCTCATATTAGAGCCATCATCAGCATCGAGCAGCGTCTCATCACAGCATCAGCTGTTCACTGGAGGCTGTGAGAATCAGATCTCTGCTGGGGGACGCCGAAAGAGGGAAAAGTGCTTGGACACYAGGGGGTGAACAGATGGCACCTATATGTGTGATTCTCTGCAGGAACAAACAAGAAGGAGCTGCAATTATAAGGTGGGGTTTTGCTACTGACAGGACAGGAGATGCGGTCGGAAATAAAACTGGTTTAACCATTTGAGTGACCAGCGCACTTAATGTTCTGCAGCATCGGATGTCCTTCCTGATCTAAAATCCATTCCAACCTCAGCCGATAAGAGCTCAGTCAGAGCGTGAATGAAACTGAAGGGAAGAAACCCAGGAAGCAAAATCAGAAAGATGAACAACTATTAATGCTCTCAGTCACACCAAGACATTTTTTTAATTTCTAATGAACTTAACATGAGTGGTTTTGTTCAAACCAGTTCACACAGCACACAAGAAGACCCTTAACTTAGCATCAAACAACCAGCTGCACCGCTCTGCAGCAAAGTTCTACTCAGACGTCTGCAATACAACATCAGAAAAAGTCATTGATATTTTATGAATCATCTATTTTATCTTTGTCTTCAATATCTTCCATGGGCTTTTTAAAATTATTGTTTGTATTTAGAGCATAACGAAGGACCAAGTTTTTCATGGTCAGACCCGTTCACCCACGAAACCTTCTACATTAACAGTTTGAACAATTTTAAGCCAAAAATCATAGCATAAGAGACAAAGGAAAACATTTTAAACCGTATTTAAGAATAAGTTCGCCAAACACTTATTTACTTATAAAAATAATAATAAAAAGATGTGAGATCACTAAACATTTAGGATGGAATCTTGTATATATATATATATATATATATATATATATATATATATATATAATGATTGTTTTATTGTTTTCCCTAAAATTGTATTGTTTATAATGAACCCTGTCAATATACACAAATAAGATTTGTTCATGTTTGGCACTAATTCATGGTATGATGGTTTATTTGGTAGAGGTGTTGCCTCCCAGCAAGAAAGTTGCTGAGTCGACTCCATGCATGCATGGGTTTTCTGCGTGCACACTGGTTTCCTCCCATACACCAAAAACATGCATGTTAGTCTAATCGGTGACTCTATATTGACCCTAACATGAGTGAGAGTGTGGATGGTTGTTTGTCTCCTTRGTCTCWAAGCATTTTTTTTCTCTAGGCATGTTTGCGTTGTAAAGCCTGGCTCGACGTTCTCCGGCTCCAGTCGGCCTGGTCTTATTATACCTCGGCCCTGGTTGTGTTTACACTGAGTGCAGCCTCGATGTGGGCAGGATCATAATATTAAACACATGAAAATTCTATTTAGCTTGATTTGCAGCACAGCAATAATGGACTGCACTAAACTGGAAAGAAAAGTATAGAACATTTGCATCTGACCTTCCAGCAGCATGACGCTTAAGACCAGAGAGCAGGACGACTGAGAGGTAAGCTAATGGTAGCTAATGTTAGCTTGCTGTTTTTTGGTAGCTCCCTATTGTTGTGTCATTTAACTCATGTGAAAAAGTCTGTACAAATAGGATAAAAATTCAATGTCATAAATTCAGTGTCTAAAAATATTCAGATTCCAATGAGACTATTTTTCTTCCATATACAAACAATTCACGCAATGTTACTCTCATCTGTGTGGTGTGACCCCCCCCCCCACCCCCCCACCCCGCTCAGTAAATCAATCAATGAGCAACAATAGTTGATGTCAAATCAGCCCAACCTGCCTGGCCTGAATAGAACCGCTGGTCTCGGGGTTCCAATAATTGGGGTGGAACTGGGTCATAAGGGCAAATACACTGAACACGGGTTTGAAGCCAGGCCATTACCCCCGTGACCCTGAAAGAAAGAAGCGGATAAAAGGATGGATGGATGGATGGATGGATGGATGGCTGGATGGATAAAGAATGGATGGCTGGATGGATGGATGGATGGATGGATGGATGGATGGATGGATGGATGGATGGATGGATGGATGGATGGCACTAATTTAAATTGGGAACATTAGTGAATTGTTGATTGATCTGATCTTCAAATAGATCATGGTCTTTCTGGCAGAATCAATTTAATTGACAAACACATGAAAGTTATAAATTTTTTATGTCATCTGTACAAATAATGGCTCATTGTTTTGAGGTTTTGCTTGGGATTAAATCAATTTAAAAGTTTTTTTTCTTTTTTAGATGCCTCCCTTCTCCCCCTGTAGACATCCTTTCCACACCATTATTATGATTTTTTTAATAGGAGAAAAAGAAGAAGAAAGAAAAAAGTGAAATGCAATGAGAAAGAGTGAAAAAGAGATTAGAAGATATGTAAAATATATGTTGAGAAAACACAAGACAGCACACCAGACTTCTCGGCTCCACACCTACAAAACAAAGATAGCAAAACCACAGCAAGAAAAATGCATAACTATGTAATTATAATGACTTTAGCCCTGCTGAAAACCATACCCATTTACATATATAAATATATACACAAACATACCCCTACCTACATATCATATCATACAAATTAATTTAAAAGTTAAAAGTTTAAATGTGGCATTGAAAAAAAAAGAGGGGCTTAGGTAAAATCAAGGATTGAAATTCAGTTGTGCTGAGATCAAAACAGTATAAAAGTAGATAAAATTCAGTATAGTTCTTCATTTTCCATCATAAATAAAATAAACAAACACTGTTTTATATTTTCTGGATACCATTTGCTTGAAAACCAATAAAAAAACATCTTTAAAAGTCAATGATTTATGTTACAATCAGAAGTCATTAAAAAGAGGTGACCGGCCGACAAACCAGAGGTGTTGCTGAGGTTCCGGCTCGTGATTCTGTGCAGCGCTTGAAGTCTTCAACTCGCCTCAACTCAGTGCTGCGATGATCATGGGCTGGGAGGAACTGAAGACTGAAAGCGCCACACAGTGCAGCCTCCCGCTCGCTCCTCTGCAGCTTCATCCCAACAGGAAGACTTTCCCTCGGCTGTCAAGACAAGTCAGCCATCAAACAAAGTGAAACGCCTCACAAGCTGAAACCCTGAGCCGCAGTCTGACGACGAGGCAGATAAAAGGGAGCGGAAAGGTCATCGCTCCCTGATTGTAACGTCACATGCTAATCCAAATCAAAAGCTACGTTACGTTTGGAAGATTAAAAAGAACTTTCATCCTTCACTTTCTTCTTTATGCCCTTCTTTGAACTTCATGTTTGTATTCATTTCAACCTTTTACAATAGTTTGGTCGCTCTGTCTTCGCTGCCATGTTCCTTATTTCCATTTCTATCTATTTTCTTTATTTCCACGTCACATTCTGCTCATCATCAATCCTCAGGATTTTTACTTTATCTTTTGCAAACAAATGCCTGCTCAAGTTTGAACATGCAAATGAGTCTGCAGTTGTTTGAAAACTTTAACAAGCATTGATTTACAGAAAACACAACAATTATATGAGATATGTTTTTTTAAAACAATTAAAAGGATGTTAGGGATGTTTTTCACAGACGATGGCATGAAATGTGAATATAAAAGAGTTTATACTGTATGTTACTCAGCATGCAGAAATGCARTGTGTTTCTGCTCATCAAATGTGACAATAAAGCAAAAAAAGAAAAGAAAACCTGTCCATAAAAGCACCAGAACAACTTAAAACAATTCAATCTTTCTTACTTTTATTTATAAATACAATTAGTTATTGCATTTTTGAACTTGTGTCTTTTCAAGGCTGCAAAAAGATTGAAGTCGATATTTTATCCCTTAGAACAGAACAAAATATTTATGCTAATACAGTATACTTATACTGTAAGAAAGTTACACATTTTAATAAAGAAAAAATAAAACAAATAAAACAATAAAAAGTCCCCCTGCCCCCAACAAAAACAAAACTAGTTAAAAAAATCAGTCCCAAACCAACCTGAAACTGATCCAAACTAAAATCCAACAAATTGTCAGTGGCAGCTCTGAAATCTGACTGTAACCAGAGTAAACTCCCAAACTAACTAAAAACACAGATGAAAACTCCAGAAACTTTAATTTCTATCAGATAGACAGYAGACTGTGAGCTACATCTAAATGTCATTATGACTTGTTCTCCATGATGATCAAAACTGAAGTTAAAAAATGCTGTGTAAATGTAAATTGAATGTGTTATTTTCAAGTTATAACAGAAAAAACAAAAAGAGAAATTAATTAATTAATTAATTAGTCTTTATATTAAACTAATTCTTATCAATTTAGCAGACTAAAAGCAGCCTCCAAACATCTAAAATATGCAGAGCARTGTGCAGCTGTCCTTCTATGTACTGCTTTTATTTTGCACTTATTATGAGTGGGAGTCATATTGTTTTCATACAGTTTTTTTTTTCAGTGATTTTTGGTCAACTGTAGCACAAAAACGGCTGCACTGATCAACATGAAATTTGTCAGGGTTGTAGATGAGTCTGACCTACACTGCGCCAGCCAACGGTTTTATGATAGACCCCATATTTGAGGAGGGGGCTCCTTTCAAAGAGGGGGTGTCTGGACATATGAAAGGCTTTTAACTCAGAAACTGTTCAACATTGAAGCTTCAGATTTCTTTTGTTATTTAGCTCTGATGAGGGGCTATCCATCATGTCAACCAACCCACCCCCAAAAAAAAGACCCCCACCCAAACCACTACAATTTTGGGATGCATCTAGCAGCATGGCATTTATTAGGAATAAAGACTTCTGAGTTCTGGTGCATTTGTGCGTGCGGGGGTCATTATGTTACCGCTATGCAGTGTCTAGTTATATGAGTCAATTAGTGGATGTTTGAGGATTTATTGGTTGTGAAAGGATGCACACAGAAAACATCTTGATGTTGCTTCTGCTGTAAATCAGGAATGGGCGTTGGAAAGCAGATTACTTCTTCTTTTATCTGTTTTTATTTATTTATTTATTTATTTA